ACTTATCATCAATGTTTATTTTTCTTATAATCAGAGTAAATATTAAAGCAGCTAGTTATGTGCTTATACCTACAGTATTGCACTGAGCCAAAAAGGAAGATAAATAACTTGTCTGAAATCCCCCATTCATTTCTCTCTTTTGCAGGTTTTATGTTTGCTCATTTCCTTTTTCAAAATATTGCTTTAGAAATTACTATAAAACAGGTGACTTAGAAACCATGAGTAGCTGCAAATGCATGAGGCCAATTTTGTGTGATTAGAATTATGCAGAGGTAATGCTTTATATTTGTGCAGAGCCTTTTCATCTAGTGCAGATCACTGGCACAATATGCAGCAACAGAGAAATGGCACAGCCCTGGGAAAAGGCTTAGCAGACCAGAGAGCAGAGCAAGTGATGAGTTAGGAAACAAAAGAATTTCTTCAAGCTTTTCTGAAGAAACTTCAGTGCTCACTGTGGCAGGAAATGCTCATCAGCAGCCCTTAGGTGTGCACAGAGGGAAAAATCAGCTTTGTCATTCTCTCACTCAGTACTTGTTTGGGATGACATCAGCAATCCCTTCCTGATGCTTCTTGTATTTGTGATTCCCACATTTTCATTCTGGGAAGGCCATAATAGTGCTGCCTCTCCCATTAAAATGGTAGGAGCATTAAAGTCAAATGTGTTGCAAACCACACAGAAATGGGCCCAGATCATTTGTGTGTGGGATGCTTTAGATTATTCTGCTGTGTTGGTCCGGCTGTTCTTTGGAAGAAGGGATGGAACCACTCAGCATGGTCACCTTCCTCAAGGTAGTGCACAGCTGGTGACACAATGGAGGAGACCTGGGCACTTTCAGTAGATGGAATGGATAAAACCAAGCTGTATTAATCTCATCTAGTAGGGTCTTGTTGTTAACCCCAGCTAGCAACTAAGCCCCACACAGCTGCTCCCTCACTACCTCTGGTGCAACGGGGAGAGAACTGGAAGAGTAAAAGTGAGACAACTTGTAAGCTGAGATAAAGACATCTTTACAGCTTCTGCTTTGTTTATTAAACTAAGGAATTAATTTACCACTTCCCACCTGCAGGCAGGAAAGCCATCCCCAGGAAAGCAGGGCTCCGTCACACAGAACTTGGGAAGACAAACACCATCGCTCTGAATGTCTCCCTTTCCTCCTTCTTCCCCCTCATTTTATACACTGAGCATGATGCCATGTGGTATCCCTTCGGTCAGTTTGGGTCAGCTGGCCTGGCTCTCCCTTGTCCCAATTTTTCATGTATCCCCAGCCTGTTCCTTGCAGTGGAGTGAGGGGAACATCAACACTGTTTCCAGCACAAACCCAAAACACAACCCTGTACTAGCTGCTATGAAAAAAATGAACTCTCTTCCAGCCCAATCCAGCAAACAAGGAGCAAAATCTCTTAAAACAGTACTGATCTCTTAGCTTTTTTACTCCCATTGTGACCATTTAGGATTGATTTCTTCAAGTGATAAACAGAACATAAGCAGAGATGCAGCCAACTCTGTGCTACTACATCATCTAAAACAAGCCATTATGGCACTTGCTGCCGTTGCCACTCCAGTATCAAGATTGCAGTGTTTGAGATATGGCATATCCCTCAGATCTGAGCTGCAAAGGCTTCTGGGAACTGCTCATGCCTCAAAGAAAGGAGTTGGAATGAAGTTTATATTCATGTTCCTTTTTCTGTATCCTAAGGCTTTTGTCACAAGTTTGCTAATTGTGTTCCAATGGCAGCAATTCACAGAAAGTGCTGTCTGTGTGCAATGTGACTGAATTCAAATAGACTAAAACCACTTAAGTTTGTTAAAAGAAGGACTGACAGTGGTGTCAGAGGTTCAATAAATGCCTGAAAGTTATGTTACACGCAGTAGCCCAGTTTTTCTTTAGTCCATTGCTTTCTCTGGTAACATGAGAGACTTAGGATACTCCCTGCAATGTCCCAGCAGGATTAAAAGCTGTAGCATTGAAAATGCAGAACCGAGCCTTGAGCCCTGTGTCTACCCTTGGACAATGAGCTGTTTTTTTTGGGGCAGCCTTCTCTCAAGATTTCTGAGCATTCAGTCTCAGTCCTGCTCATTTAATTAGCTAGTAGAGATGCAAAGCCTACTCTTAAAGTCTTCAGTTCCCTTCCCTGTCACCCATGTAAATATCATACCATACCATTTTGAATGTGTCTTTGGAGCAGGGACTCAGATACCTAACCAGCAGCTAGGATTACACGCTTTAATTCTCATAGGGGCTTCTGGGAATTACCACACTAGGGGGAATTATTTTTTTCATTGTTGCTCTCATTCCTTTCTGTTTAATGACCCATCCTTCAGCCCCATTTGCTTCTGAGCAAGTTCCAGCTGTACATTTGTCACCTGTGCTGGCCCCTCTGGGATCCTCTCTTGCAAGCAGAAGGGATGTTGGTGTGGCAGGGCTGGGAGGGTTTGGGCAACAGCTGGGCCCATGGGTCAGCTGTTCTCCAGGGGCAGAAAATCCTGAGCCTCTACAGTGCGAGCAGTAGCTCAGGCAGGTGTATTACCTGAGAGGGGTGAGCACACCCAGCAGACCCACGAGCTTCCATACATGGTGTCTCCATCAGAGAGAGACAAAGACTTGGCATTGCATTAGTGAGTGGCCCATTCTCATCAGCTAATGGAAGTCTCTAATTTCTCATTGCCCCACAAATTCCTCATAGCTGATTTGCCACTTGAATTAAACCATGATTATATATTATCAGCAGTCATTTCATAGTAAGGTTGAAGGATCAAATGCAGTTAGCAGTGATGAATTCCAGATGTGCAGGACAGAAGCCTGAAGAGAAGGCCAGTTTCTGAGTAACTACAAGATAGAGTAATGTATTCTAAATATTTGATTCAATTAAGCTGCCTTCTGCTCTTTGTTTCCGCTTACAGATGGCTCATCAATCTATAGTTCAGGGACACATTGCTATTCTTTCTAATGGTAATTAGGTGATCAGGATGGAGACAGGTTTGATGAAATACTCACATTATGATCTGCATATTTAAAATGGAACAGAGCCCAAAGCAAAAGCAAAATGATAGCTGGCTGCTGCACATGGCTTAAGCCTCAGGCACTTGATAGGTCTTCCTCTAGCATAGGTAATGGGGACTTTGCTAGTTCCCACCACAGAAGGAATAGTTATTTTTTAATCATTCAACTATGAGTGTCTGTATCTGGTTTTGAATGTTGCTACTCTAGTTTCTTGCAAAAATACTCATGATGCTTGTCCATTTTTGGTTCAGCTTCACTTGGAGGGTTCTTGCAACCTGGAAAGTAGTAGTAAAACAGTTGCAGAATCTGTGACTGATCTTCCAATGACTTCTCCATGTTTGGGAAAGGCCACCGTGGTACTTTTGGGGCAGGGTATGTATTCTTAACAGTTTCTAGCTTGCTCATGGTTATCAGCCTCTAGCCTCTGAAAGCAGGAAAATTTCAGAAGATACCCCTGCTGTTAAAGTGTCCCATTTTGTGTTTTTAACCCTTAGGATTCTTTTGGTATCTACTGACAAAATAAAACTGTAAAGTAGAACATTGTCAGAAGCTCTGTATGCAAATGTGTAACTCCTTTAGCCACTCCATCTGAGAGCTGTTATAGCCACTAAGAATTTAATAAGGTGTCATTTCTTTTATGCAGAGAAGAAATTTGAGGAGTGCAGAGGTTTGAAGCTCTGAGGGTAAATCTGTACTCAGAAAAATAAATTGGGCAAACCATGCCCTATTTAAATTCTCATTTAAGGGCAACACACACCTTGTCCTGGCCTTCTCCCAGACATGGATTTTGCAGTCACTCCTCAATTAAGCAGATCCTGATATGCTTTGCTGAATCAGGGTTTCAAGTGGAAGTGACAGAAATAAAATTGAGATCTTTTCAGTCATAACCCTACTCTGAAGCCATCAGGCAATGCTGCTTTCCTTCATTGCTCTCCACCGCAGTGGGAGCAATGCTATGGGGAGTGTCTGAGACAGGCAAGAGCCATGCTCTGAACTTCTGCCCCTTACCAGAACCCAAGCCACCCAGCTGAAATTTCAAAAATATAAGCCAAGTATACAGTCTTCAACATTCTGAGACTTGAAATCTTTGTCCCCCAGTGCCTCAAGTCATTCAACTGTTTAAGCAAATGGATTAAGTATTCTCCTAGTTCTGATACAGCTTCCCTTCAGGATGTCAACAAAACCGAACATCTCTTTCCTCTATACATATGATACCCAGTGTTATCAGTCCCCCAAAAAAGTTACCAGTGAAGCTTTTGCCTGTAAAATCCTAGTTTCAGTTCCTTATTTAATCAATTTTTATCTGTACTGAAGAATTGCGGGCTGAAATTTTGTTACATGCTGCCTAGGGCAGGGAATCTCTGTTTGCAGTAACAGTTTGAATAGCCAGTTCACAGAAATATTGCATCCTCATACAATCAGAATCCTTCCATAGGCTTGCCACCAATACTCTGTGCTTGCATTTTTCTAGGAAACAAGCATCTAGCAAGTTGCTTCTTTGAGGTGGCAAGGGGGAGGGACGCAGGAAAGAGGGACAATTGTTTTGGTTTACTTCTTGCCCATTTGCTTTTCCTCATACTGACTTAAAAAAATCTATCTGCACTGTTACCTAGGTTAAAGAAATCCAGTTGTTGTGCAAAAAAGTTTTAGAGAATACAGATATTGTATTGTGAATACGGTTTGTCCTCTGGCAAGCTTTTAAAAGCAATTTTTTTTTCAGATGATGTCTTTTTGAGGCTTGTTCTGTAGTACCCTTCAAAGATAAGGAATGACTTAGAATATTTTTAGTCTGAGAAGGCTAGCAATCTTCTTGATGTCATTTCATTAAAAATCCATTTTTCTATTATGGCTATAAACACTAGCAAACTGCACTTCTTTTCCTTTTGGTGGTACTGACTGATTATTCCGCTGCCTAAGAGGCTCTTCTAGGACAGAAAATTTTGTTGTATTGAGGCACTTGGACAATCTATAGAGGGGGATTTTTTCAACCACTGTCTTACAAGGACAATTTCACATAAGTTTATTTCCTTTATTACAACTGAAGTAAGAAACCATAGTAGATCTCATAATAAATCTCTCTTCTCTACTTAGCTGCCCTTAGGATCCAGCTGCTCCTGAAGTCTACTTTCCCAGGCTATGCTATCCAGTGGAGTTATAAGTTAAATTGAATTTTTGATACTGTTCCACCTCCATTTTTCCTGATGATTTGATTGATATGTCTCATCTGCTGGGCTTCCTCGAGTTACAACTTGAATGCTAATGTGACTCCATCTCCCACTGGGAGCATGCTGATATTGACACGTGCATCTCTGAGAAGCTTCTCATTGAGGCGGTGGATGCTCTGCGCTGCCAAGTCATCCTTCCTTGGTTTTAGCACCTTTCCATTCCAAAAGACCTATTAAAAAAAGAAATATGATGCACATCCTTTGTTCTAATATGGTCCTTGGACAACAAAGGAAGCTTTGGAAAAGTTCCTGCGTATTTCTTAGAGATAGATATTATTTGTTGTATTTCAGACGTATAACAGTCTCTGACATGGAACTCTCAAAAGTAAGTGGGATTGAGAGTCCACAGAACTTGCTAATTGTACTTCTACTATAGATTTGAAGCCAAAACAAAAAAAATATTTAAATATAGGTTTTTTTAAGAGCCCCTATTTGGCTGCCACCATAACCCCAAAGGTGCCTGAAGTTTAATATCCTTTGTTTCTTGTAAAAGTAGTTAATTGATAACTTATTAATAGTTACTGATTACAAGTGCTACTTTTGATCTTGTGTAAATACTGTACATACTATAAATGCACTACAAGACAAACGAGAATAATACAGAGCATTCTATGTAATGAATAACAAAAAAAATTCTATGTTTTCTATTAGTGTTTTATATAGCTTAATTAAAGAGTTTATGTTGAATTTTCTTTTTGATTGTGCTATGTGTAACTGCCTGTGCACTACCATCAGAACTGCAGTACTTACATTATCAATAGCTATTATTCCCCCTTTCTTTATGAGGCGCAAGCATTTTTCATAGTACTCATTGTAGCTTTCTTTATCGGCATCAATGAAAGCAAAGTCAAAGGTTTCCACTTCTCCATTGGCCAACAGTTCATCTAGATGAGCAACACAGTGAGCTGTTATATCCTGGTTAGTGCTGTGTAGGAGGAAGTAATTCATTTTTGTCAAAGCTCTCATTAAATGTTTTCTGCTGCCTTTACCAGGCAGCCTGTTCCTCCACAGGTAATTACTAGAAAAGCTTATTCCACAGAAACCAATCTAGACATTATGTATGCCATAAAACATGCAGTTACTGAGGTCTGCATGCTTAGGAGTTTGTGGAATAGCTCCAAACCTGAAGGATACAGCTGGGACTGCTGAAAGGTACAGCAAAAACAAGTCAAGCACTTTGAAACTGGACATACTCTACACCTTCAGCTTTTTTTTTCAGCTGGTAACTGTTTTCTGGAGTGGATTAGAATTTTTCTCACTTTATGAAGAGGTTCTAAATGCTAATCTCTCCTTGGAGATCAAGTGCCATGATACAGGTCATGAACAAACCCTGTCAGAGATATTTACAGCAAATAACTGCTGTAAGTAGTCCCTCTCTGAGCCAAGGCAAGTAGAATTCAGTTTTAAGTTCTCCTAGACAGATTTCTTGACTGAGAATTCCAAATTGCCAGTCTCAGAGGAGGTGATTTCTGTCTCCTAAGGTCCTCTGCCACCGCTTTAACCTGCCCTTGGCTGTCAGCAGAAGATCTTTTTGTCTGAAGCAATGCCTGGACAAAGCTTTGCTTTGATAGACTTCAAGGAGTGTGCATAGCAGCAAACTGCTTATATTTGCTTCTTTAGAAAGGATGGATTTGAAAGCAATACAAGGTTATCAGTGGATCTGGGGATCCACCAAATACCTTTGCTGGAAATCTTCTGCATCCAACAATCCTAGAAAATGTCTTGCATTTTCAGAACATTTATTAGTATTTCCTCTGCCCCATATTTTCTCTTTCCTTGCATGAGATAAGTCATTGCCTCACTAATGGCCTTGCATGCTTTTGGAACATCCTAAATTTGAACTTCTCTGAACACAATTCAGCCTAAGTTATATACTGGCTTCTGAATTTTTTTTGCACCTCAGCCCTTTCAGGGTACTCTTCCTCTCTTAACAAAGGAATACTTGCTTAGAATGGACAATGCTAAGAGAAATTTGGCTTTGATTAATCTGTTTTCATCAGCTTTCCAGAAGCAGCTGACAATAGTATTTGATAAATTAAACGAAGTGATGGACAGGGCAGGTGAGTGACCAGTACAGCCCACAACACAGGACAAGCATTTTCTTCCTCTCTACTAGTAGGTAGCAAATCTGTGAACTCCTAGATTCTTACTTTTTAATATAAGAGAAGCTGCCTCCCTCTTAGCAAAAGGGATCACATTCACAACATATTTGGTCTTAAATTTCATCACTATTGTATCCCTCTTCTATTTCTAGGGAAGGGGAAACAATCTGTTATTTCAGGATACTTACCAAGTGTTTGAATTGCTGGCTTAATCCGCAAGTCAATTTTATGCTCTACTCCTGCCTAAGATGAAAAAGAACAAAAGTGTTGATAAAAATGGTCAAGAAATAACCTGTTAGTATGCTGTATTCAGGGAGTGACTGGGGTTCAGATAGTTTTCCTATTATTTCTAGGTTCCAAACACCACTTATTTTTCTTCCCAAACAGAACTCTGTCAGCCTCCTTTAATGCTAAGAATATTTCTGTGTGAATTTGCAAGTCTAAAATAACAAAATCTCTTCACATGTAAAGGCACTTGTCCCCACTGTGTACAGGAGATGCTGCTTACCTCCTTCCACAGTGGCCTTCCAATTTTGGCATAGTCCTCATTTACATCACAGGCAATAACTTGGCCATTATCTGGCAGGACAAGTGCCATACTCAAGGCATTATAACCTGTGAACACACCTAGGAAAATCATAAGAGACATCAACACTTCTTGTATTGTGGAAAAAGGGTTACAGGGCTCTCATTAGGAATAAGAACCCCAAAGGAATCAAGGAGGGCAATTTGTTAATAGACAGTAAATATTTTTCATTCTTCCTTCCATTTTAATGTAATGGTAGGTTGAGAAGTTGTTTTTTTTTTAGCAAACTTAAATGTTAGCTTTTCCCAAAAGGCTCATGGACAAACAAGGCAGAGTCTGGTCTTGAATGTGTAACTCAGAGAGACTGGATGAGCAGCAAAATACCAGGGAATTATAACAGCCAGGCCAAGAATGAAGATGGTGGGAACTCATACCTGGCTGCTCAGCATCAGCCTGTCTTTTAGGACATCCTGGTAATATAGGTGTGTCAAGCAAAGTGGATTTGATACAGGGCCTGTGCAGCAAAATATCTTCTTCTAGCAAGAAGGTGATAGAGGAAGGACAGAATATACCTTGTCCTGCAACTGTTGAAGACTCAAGAGGTCTATTTAGCTCAGTTTTTCAGATTGCCTCAGAATGGATGAGCCATCCGTGCTGATGCCAGAACTACTTAATGCAGTTAGACAAAGTGGCAACCAAGTGCAAATCAGACACTCCTTTTCATGCTGTAGTTTGCCCACCTGTTTTTTAACAGTTATGCAGTACCTTCCTGTATTTGGATATTTTATATTAAACATGGCTGTATTTGGAGAATGATAGTCAAGAGTTTTACTTTACTACGAAGTGACACTCTTACCTATTTCAATAACTTTCTTGGCTTTAATGAGTTTGAGCAAATTTGCCATAAGCTGAGCCTGCTCACAGGACACCATCATTCTGCCCCGGGGATGATCAGCAGTGAGCTAGGAAAGGGGAAAAAACCAAAACCATGTCACATCAAACAAAAACCAAATCTATCAAACCAATATCCTAAAGAAAAAAACCCAGTGAAACTCCAGGAAAAACAGACACCTCTGTCTTCTCATTTTAGATTACTCTGTGAATGGAGCTAGATGGAGCCATCTATGAGCCATAAATTGGCTTGAATTTGACTATAAGTAAGGAGGATGTTAAGTGTGTCATAAGCAGAGGATATTCAAAGCAGTAATATGCTCCAAAATTACTATGGCTGTGGCAAACTCAGCAATATTTGTAACTAAACAAAGAATCATAGGCGAACTTTCACTGTAAAAGTCCTTTATTTCTGTGCATTTGCACAAACAGATACACTTCCTTTAAGATGTGTAGAATGCTTTAATGAACTGCTAGGTTCTTGTCTGCCAAAGGTCAGACCACGTAGTCCAGGCCACACAGTGCAAACCTGGAGAATCTGTGCCCATCCCAGAGTGGAAGGGCTCTTGGTACTGAGGAATGGGGCAATGGGAGAAGCAGGGCTGTGCCATGACAGTTGAAGGGAAAGTATATCTTCCTATTTCCTTTCTTCTCCTTTCTAGGGATCATTCCAATCAACCTGTTCCAGCAGTTAGCATTTAATTTCTTTTATACAAGAACAGTTTGTCTCACCTGAAATGACTCAAATCTGAGTCAGGATGTCTGGTCTCATTTCTGACACTGGAGCCTGATGGAAGACATCACCTCTCTGAGCTACAGGTTCCTTATATGCCAACCAAAGTGAACAGAAGTAATTTTTTCAAGTCCAAATCAAGTGCAGCCCTAACACATGGCCTTGGAGCCGAGGATAGAAAGACATGTCTAAAATATATGCCAATACTATTAAATAGTCATGTAGGTAGCCCTGAACATAGAAGTCTGGGTATAACCAGTTTAAAAAACCCCTCTAGTGGGTATGCAAGTAAGATGGAGCAAGGAAATGTGACCAGGATCCCAGCAGTTCAGGAGGAGTTGTGGGTGATACTGACCAGACGCAGCTTCTTTAGAATTGGATGCTCCCGCAAAGAGTGATCCAGTATGTATTGCCGGAGAGGACTATTTTTCCCCATCATACCACTCGGGGTCCCAAAAATGAAAGAAGGGTATCTTTTACCTACCAAACAATAAGTAATAAGAACTTTTATACTTTTCAGTTATTGCCATTTTAAATAAAGTGAACATTGAAGTATTACTAAAGGTTGAAAAGTTCTCCTCTGTAAAACAGCCATGAAAATGGAAAATGCAACATAGCTGGACAACCAGGTGGACTATAATTTTTTTCCCCTTCTCCTTTTTAGCCTCTAAGATGTCCAGTCCAGGCCTCGAAAGGCTGAAAGGGGAAGGCTTCAGAACTGTATTGTTCAGTGGCCAATGTGATGGTTACACACTGCCATAAACTTACAGGAAAAGTAACCCCATCAAAACTCAAAGGGCAAGTTTAAAGAGAGATACATGAATGACATGCACAATTTTCTCAGTCTGTGCTCCTTCTTTTGCAGATGAACAGACGCCACCAGGTTTTAGCCCCATCAGCTGATGTTTCTTCTCAAACCCTGTGCTCTCCTCATGACACTGTCCTACATTCCAACGAGGGGAAACGTGGTATTGCAAAATGCCTTGTTTAGTGTGAAACCAGTATGCAGACAAAGTAGGAGCTGAAAGTTGAAGTTTTAGTACATGTCTATTTAAATACAGGACTGAAGCTTTCATGCCCAATGTTTCTTTTACCAAACAGATTAACTATTTTGAAGAAATAACAACAAATTCATTTCCACATCTCCTGGTAGTTGTTTGCTACGACAGAACACTTTTATTTCGAGGGGTTTATTTTCTGTTAATGATTCTACTTTACAGACGATCACGCCAAGATATAGATTATTTCAACAACTTGCCTTAAATCAAAGATTAAGTGCGTGCCCGCGTTACAAACCCAACGCCAGCCTTCTTCCCCTCCTGGATCATGGGCTCGTTCCGTTCCTCCCGGGGAATGAAAGCGAAACTGCTACCAGAACAATGCTGTGCGCAAGGACCACACCCCGGCCCTTCCGGGCTGGCCAAACGAATGCAGGCGGGGGACCGGGCGGGGAGCGTGTCCTCGCTTTCACTGGACCTTGGCCCGGCCCCACACTGCCGGATTACAGGGAGCGGCTTGGACTCTTAAGAACATCATTTTATTTACTGCAGCAGCTCAGCAAAATAAATCTCTGCCCGCAGAGCAGCCCCAAGGGGTCTGCTCCCCGACGGGCCGCCAGGCTGCACCCGGGACTCCTGCCCGCCCTGGGAGGGACCTGCCGGGCGCTGGTGGGGACACGAGGAAGGCGCAGCCTTCACGTCTCCGTGTATGTGGCAGGGCTTGGGGGGGCGCCGCTTACCTGCAAGCATACCCGTGGCAAAGGCGACCCCCAGCATCGCCGTCCCGACGGCCACTTCTTTGGGCACGCTGAGAAGCGGCATTTTGGAACCGGGAGCGAGGGAAGCGGCGCCGCCGGGTCACGCGCGGCACTGGGCGGTACGGCGCGCTCCGCCTGCCCCGGGAGGGCGGGGCCGCGCTGCCCGTGGGTGGCGGCCCGGCGGCTTCGCTTCGTCTTGGTGGCTCCTAGGGTCCCGATTCCAGGCGTGCCGGATGCTGGGCTCGGCTGGGGCGGCCAGAGGGTGGGTCCCCCGCGGGAGGCGTGCGCCTTTCTCTCTGCGCCTTTTTCTCAGTGACGTACTCGGATGTGGTGCGTAAAGTGACAAAGACAGCACCCGGGGTTTGTGCCACCACCTCCTCAGAGGCTTGTTCTGGTACAGCTTCACTGTAGTCTTCGTTTTAAAACACACCCAAATGTCGTGTGCTCGTAATGGGCTCTCATGGAGGAGCTTTTCACAGAGATATGCTCGTAAGAGGCTTGGTACTCCAACTAGCCCGGGAAGAGAGCTCTCTCCTTCCCCTAGAACACAGGTTTCTTTGCAGCTGAGGTGTGAGCAATTACTTCTCAAAAACATATAAGATATTTGGAATTTCAGTCTTGTGACCTGGGAGTGTCCAGGTGAAAGGAGTCAAGGAGGATTCTCCAAGAGAGGGGGAATGGGGCCTGTTTTCCTCCACTGCTGTTTCAGCCCCCTTCTGCAGTATCTTCTAGGTGAGGTGGAGCAGTGCCCTTGCCACTGCTTAACAGCCTTGTTGAGGGATCTCCTCCCTGGCCGGATCTGTTTCTGAGGGAGTTGGATCATAAGTCAGCAAGTGATTGTGTAATCTTTTTTATGTCAGCCTAAGCTTTTTTGTGCTTCTGTGCCTTTTGGAGATGGGCTGGGAATTCGGTTTTCATTTTGTGAAGTATTGGTAATATCTGGGTTTTGGAGAACACAAGCGAAATATGGAAATTATCATTTTGACATTCTGTGGGAGATGAAATTAGTGCCATTTCACACAGACTAGGAATACATAGCAATGGATTGGGTTGCAACTTGGCCTCCACAGATGTAGGATAAAGCTGGTAAAAATTCCATTTTGGCACATAGTCTATCTTCAGAAAGCCAGATGAATTGTGTGTTGGTAGGTTTGGATGAAAACATTTCAACTGTTTCCCTCTGCTAACAAAACAAATGTCAGTGCAGTTAGAAGATGCTTTTTAAAGTACATCTTAAGTGTGGGATTAAGTATATCACCAGGGTATTTATGGGAAATGTGTTTGCCTATCACTGCCTTTTTACTGTGTTAGAGCTTATTTACAAAGACTTGCCCCCAGAGCTCTTGTATTTCTTTTGCAGCAACTAATCATGCCACTCACTAGGGAGTCTGCTGTGATTTCTGATTTGCAGAACAAAGTAAGACATATGATCTGTCTTGGCAGATAAAATAACTTCCAGTTCACTTCTAAAATTTATTTCATTTTGAAAGCTGTGAGTGTTGTTGGTTTCATGGTGGCTTTTTTCATTCAGTATCTTGTCACTTTCTCTGTGTACATTTTGCGTTTGTAAATGAGAGCATTTCATCCCGTCTTTCAGAAGATGAGTTATCAGCATGTGCTGCAACATGTCAGTTTTAGGCCAAACAGCTGTAGGAGGAAACAATTCTTGCAGCGGCCATAAATCAGATTTGTGACGGTGCGGCTCCATCTAGTGATTCTTCTCTACAACTGCAGCATAAGGGAGAGGAACTGTGGGTTACTCTGTTCAATGAAACGCACGAAGTGTGCAAGCTTCCAGTGTTGTGCTGACCTCTCAACTCGAAGAGATGACCCATTTGGATATCTCTGGGAACATCAAGTTTCTGAAAGCTCCAAGGGAATTGGTGAACTGAATTGCTAATATACTTGAATGTGTTTCTGAAATTCCTCCCACCCCCAAGCTGTTAATCCGTAATAGCTTACCTTTGCTGGAAGTGTAAGGTGTTTTACTGTACTGGACAAGAGGTTATTTCCTTTAGATAAGGAAGTCGATTTTCAGATATCTAAGATATAATGAAAAGCTTTCATGAGAGAGTCAGAAGGGTTATAATCTTCCAGCTGGATAGAATGGAGCCATCAGCTTTTCTTTGAGCCATTTCCATTTTCAGTTTACGTAACTGTATGATATATATGGAACAGAAAACTTTGATTAACAGATTTATTAGACGTATGCTTACAGTGTGCTGTGGCTGCCTGAGCATTTAAACATTTTGGTAGATTTCTGCCTACTCCTTGTGCTAAGTAAGGGGAAGGCTACCTAGAGATTAAAAACCGAGTATAATATGGGCTTGGATACAAACCCCACTGCTCCCTAAATCTGTAAGGTCAGTCCAGTTGCACAGATTTCATGGGAGTTCAGGATTGCTCCCAGTGCTGTAGTCAGGAGGCATATTTTCCATGCCTGAAAGTGCCTTGTCTCTTGGACTGCATTCTAGAAAGGGTAGGAGGGTTTTGGCAGCATATTCAGGCTGGAGCCAGAACACGATTGCATTTGTAAAACATATGGAGTAGGACAGACAGGATAGGCGCTGACATCAGGGTGTACAAATCCTCACTTTATTCATATTGATAATCATTCAAGGTTTTACAGACACTGGGTAATTGATATATGCAATAGACTGTTCTCCTGGAACCTTCTTTCCAGGAGTGTTTTTCTGTGTGAGAATGTTGCACACCATCTGCCTCGGTGTCATCTGTGTAGACTTATTGTGGAAATGGGACTGGCAGGGAGTTAGCCTACTGATAAGGCTGTCATCTCACTTCTGGGTTTCTGCCTTTCATTTGCAACTATTTTTATGGACCAGTTGTACCTGGTAACTGAGGCACCACTGTAAAATGCTAAATGACTTGCCTTGGGTATAGAAAGTTTTTCCTTTCACTGTCCTCATAATTTACTTTTTTTTCTGTTGTTGTTTTTATTTCCCTCTTCACTCTTCCATGTGTCAGCTACCTGAACTCAACCTGTTCTGGCAGGCTGTGCCTTCCAGGTCACTGGTGATGTTCTGTGGCCTGCTCCAAGGTGGTGGTAAAGAGTAGTGAGCATCTTGATTGTCTTTCTGCTGCACTAAAAAGAAGTAAAATCTATGTGTGTTTCAGCCTCTGTCCAGCATGAACATGTGGGTATAGATGACTCTTTTTAAAATCGTACTCGCTCTGTGGTGGAAAGTCACTGTGTATCACAGGTATCCCAAAGAAAGTATGTACAGGCATGTTTGAACAGCTCAACTCACTGGAAATAAGCCCTACACGTATAGTTGCCCTATACATTTGTTGAAGCTATGTTGGCTTATGACATTGGAAAGCATTCAGTTGAGTTGCATGTGGTGTCGGCTTCATTCAGGCTGTAGTGGTGTGGCTTCAAGTATAATTTAAATGTTGCTTACTTAAAATCTTAGTTATCTGCACACTGTTCTCTGTTTACAATGAGGGTAGCAGTTACACAGTCCTCTAAATCATGTCAAAGTGTTGAAAAGCAAGTGTAAATGCTACATGTATTTAGTTTAGTGAGTAAAGTGGAAAAAATGTTTGATGCTTGCATACAGTTGAAAGAGAAGCCAGCTGTCTTTGTCCCCAAAAGCTTACAATGTGAATGTAAAACCATGGTCATGGGCAGGAAGTGTAGGGAATTGGTTTGTACTGAGCTGTGTGTTTGGCAGTAGCCTAACTCAAGTTTCTTAGGAGAAATCAGAGCAAAGTTTAAAGGAGTGATCAGGAGGAAGGAGAATGAAGTTTGGAGCTGTTTAAAGTATGAGTGCAGTATGAGTAAAAGCCCAAAAACAAAGAGAAACCAAAGAAGAATGCATTAATGTATTCCCATGGTCAGGTTAATTGCTGAAAATGCTGATTGAGTTGAAATTCTGGGTGAATGGGGCTTGATGAGATGGGAGCTGGAGGAAGAAGTTGTAGTAAGCAAGGTAATGAAACCTGAGACAAACCTTTTAAATGTGAAGATGAAAATACAATCTTGAAAATATGTCAGAATATTTCTGCTTGTTTACGCATAGCTGAGAGTGAGGGTTTGGAGTGAAATGAGGGTTGATAATGAAGAATTACAGGTTGAGTGACAGGCAAAATAGTAATTTTTATCTATATTGATGGTGCAAAAAGTTTGTAGAGCTGAGGCTGACCTGATCTTAGCCATCCTCAGAGAAATGTTTGATACAGATTGGGATTTTAACCTGGTTTAAGAAGATAGGAGGGAAGAGGCATATTTGCAAGTTGTCTGCACGGACACTGTGGATGAATACGTGCATAGATTGGGCCAGATACTCAGAAAAGACATCAGGCCATGAATTCCTTACTTTTTAAGATATTCACAAATATGCAGACCAATAAGCATTCAATTGTATTTTTTGAAATATCTTTTTATAAAAAATTGAAACAGAACTTATTTACCATATTTGTGTGTTCATTCATCTGTCTTGGGCGTTGTACATGAAAAATGTGTATCTTTTATAATTTTACAGTCCATAATGTATATCCCCTTGCAAGGTCTAGATAAATCACTGGGTGGTATATTTTAGAGGACTGTATATGAAATTATTATTTTATTCACAATTGAGATTTCTTATTTCTTCTAATTTGTTTTGCTATGTATTTGTCTGTTCCATCACTGTTATCTTTCTAATATTATGCTTAACATTTAATTTTGCAGTTCTGTAAAGTAGGGTATACCATTTACCAGCATAACCTACTTGACCTCAGAGATACTAATTCCAGACATATTTGTTATAGCAATTTTTTTCCCCATAAATGTTCATTCATCTTCTCAGCTGAAAATCTTGGAATTTTTAGAATGGTACCTTTTCTAACAAAAAAAAATTGTGATAAATGAAAATGCTCTCCCAATTTTTTTTTTTTTTTTTTTTTTGTTGAATTCAGTAATTTGAAATATGACTAATAGT